TCTACACGTCCCCACACAAGACAGGTCAGCATGCCCTGGATCCCCGCTCGTCCCTGCTCAAAGCGCTGCACTTTGCTGCTATCGGACGCCTTGCGCCAGTGGCAGGTGCGCAGGACGCGACAGCTGCCAGATTTTCGCAATACGGCCGCCTATGTACAGCTTGCCGATGAGGGAGTGCTAGGCGACATTTTAAACTGTATCAACGCCGACTGGTATCCAGATGTAGCAACCAGACGTCGGACCGTCAGCAGAGGGGCGGTCAGTCCAACCCCTGCTGCGGCCCCGGATCGTTCGGACGGGAAACACGTGCGTTGAGGCTGCAGACGTCGCGCGCCCGCGCTCAAGCGAAGCAAGCAGACGGCCCACGCTGCAACCAATGTTTCTGGTTGCTTACAGGCTGTCCACACCACAGTTGCCGAGCCGTGCGGGGGCTAGCAGCGGCCGCAAGGCGCAGCGCATCGGCAGCGCAGGATTGCAGCTCACACCAACGCCGTGCCGTGCCTGCGGCCAGCTGCGCCGTGCCTGAGGCCAGCTGCGCTGTGCCGCGCTATGCTGGCTGGCGGCTGCTCCTTCAAAACAGCGATCCAGCCTAAGCTGAGGGAGGAGCGCTGGCCCGCGAGGCCGTCACAGCCACCGCGAAGCTGTGCCGCGTAGGGGCGGCCCACCGCGTACGGCGGCGCGCCGGCCGGCGCGCCACAGGAGACGTCGACGCGCGCCACTGCGCGGCGCTGCCCCAGCGCCAGGGGCGCCCTGCCGGCGCCGCCCGGCGGCCCCATCAGTCATCCATGACCTCCTCATCCGCCGACGCCTCGTCCTCCTCCTCGTCGTCGTCGTCGGCGCCCATCTCGTCCAGAGCCATGCCGTCATCGTCGTCGCCCATGACGTCACCCTCGACAGGCTGGGGGGCGGGGGCGGGCTCATTGTCAAAGTCGTGGTGGAACTTGGTCACCCTGAGCGGGAGTTGAATGGGTGGGTTGGGGGGGACGATCAGATGTGCATAGTCGAAAACAAGTTGAAATCGGGGGGCGCACCACACATGGGAGGCGCATGGAGGGCATGAAAGGCGGACTCGTGAGCACGGCACGCATGATAACACGGCGCGCCTGACAATGATTGTGTTCTCTATTTTCTTCTTGTTTCCTCTTGTGTGACCAACAGTGTCGCTGTCTCCGCCGGCCCGTCCCAGGCGCGTGCTCATTGATGCCTGCGCGCGCGCGCTCGCGCTCGCACACACACTCATGCACATACACACGTACAAACATTTACACACACCCGCACATCTACACACACACACACACACACACCTGGGGTGGTCCGCCATGATGTTGCGCTGCAGCTTCTCCAGCAGCGGCTTCTCAGGCGGGGCCTCAATGAGGGCAGGGTCCGCGTACTCTGTGTTAACGTAGTAGCCCACGCGCACAAACTCCTTGCCCTGTTGGTGTGGGGTTGCACGGCGGTTGTGATCTGGGCCGGCGCGGGGCTGCACACAGGGATACGGCCGGTTGCTGGGCGGCCATTGTGGGTGTGATGAGCGTGCGCATGGCGGCGGCGCCAGCGCTCGGCGGCCGCCGGCGGGAGGCGGAAAGGCTCTCCCGATTGCGGCGGCCCATCCCTGCCGCACGGCGCAGTCTGATTATGCCAGCCCGAGTGCAGCGCTGCCGCCCCCAAGCAGCCACGCACCGCGCTGCGGGGCCGACCCTCCTCCTCTGCCACCCCGCCCAACCCTGCCCGCAACACGGGCCAGGATTCAGGGTCCAGACCCCAGGGTTCAGGCAGCCCCGCCGTCAATCAGCCCACCTGGTAAGAGCAGGTCAGCAGCAGCGCGGTCACCCCCACAACGTCGCCCTGGGGGATCCTTCCGGCGTCCGGCGCCGGCGCCCGCATCGTGAACTTGTAGGCCCCGGGCTGGACCGGCCCCACAAAGGCTGTGTCGAGGACCTGGTCGTGCTCCTCGGTCTCTGCAGATCCTACATAGATCACTTTCCACTCCAGATCATCTTTCAGGGCGGTGAGGCACTCGTACTGGACCTCCAGCTCAATCTCGTCGGCGAACGGCGCCGGGTTGTTCTTCACGTCGACCGATGTGATGGCCACCTCCGCCATGGCGCGCGCGGGCCGCCGCTGGCTGCGCGCTGCGCGCTGCTGCTGCGGGCACGGCGGCGCGCTGAGCACCTAGCTGGCCCGCCGGCGCTGGGCGCGTCGCCGACGCCGCGTGCACGCCGCCGCGACCGGCCGATCCTGGGCCGCCTCTGATGGCCCCAGTGCTATGTCCGCGGCCCAGGGATAACAGGAAAATGAGGCAATGCTGGTTGCTGTCAAGCGCAGGTTTGGGGTGATTGAGTCGTGCGGACACGCTGCATCAAGCTCGAAAACGGCGGGCTTGGCGCACTCTTCACGCGTGTGCACGCCGATCTCCGAGCACGCCGCTGAGACGGGCTGATGAAATGCACGGGCCCGTTGCGTTTGCTCGACCGTCTTGGGTGAAGTAGGACAAACGCAACAATAGGCGATCTAAGCGCGCAGAATGAAAAGCACCGATCACGGCAGGGTGTAGAGGTTCTGACAAGCTTTCAAGTCATGAATCGGCAATACGCATGCTTGAAACGAGCCGGAATGAGCCACAGGCACGGTTTGCCTGCAAATCGGGAAGCTGCCGAGCAACCAGCAAGGGCTACCGTACGAGGCATCGACGCCAAGGAAAGCGGGGTGGATACAGGAGAGTTTGAACGTCACAATATTAGGAAAAAACGATTCAGCCGTGCAGCGCTAAAAGACAAGGCAGATCATACGTCCTCAGCTCGACACAGGATGGGCTTCCTCCAGGACTGGTTCAATGGAGAGGCCAAGAAAAGCTATGAGTCGGCGACAAAGCGTGCTGCGGCCTTCGAAGAGCAGCTAGAGACGCACCAGAAGCACATGGCGGACGAGTGAGTACATTTGAAGGCCAGGCGAAGGCTAACAGAGGGCAGTCGGTGGTGACAGCTGCAGACTCAGATGTCGACGGCACCGCAAGCGTGCTGCGAGCGAGGGCTCAGCAGCAAGAGCAGCAACAGCTCTTGTGCAGCTGCGGCGCTTGGTACAGTAGAGATGCTGCAGCGTTGGCAGCACGCCGTTCTGCCGCAACTCTGCAGGCCAAGCGTTGGCGAGCCCACTGCCTGTGCGGGCGGCGTCACGCATGCGGCATCCAATTATTCCCCCTGCCGACCCACGCAACGCTTGGGCACTTGACAAACCACGCAGGCGCGTCTTCGCCAACATGCGGCCGGTGGAGAAAAAGGTGCCGTTTGCTGACCTGCCCTTCCACCCAGTGGTGAGTTGCTTGAGCTGGGCTGAGATGCTGCGCAGCAACAGCAGCATGTTGAGTTCAGAGGAGGGGCAGCTGGCCTGACCTATGAGGTTTTCAAGACCGTTTTAGGCCATGGAAGCTGGGCAGGGTGTACTCAGGCGAAAGCTCCTACTTCCATCCAGGGAACTGAATCTTACTCTCACACTCTCTGCCAAAACATCGTGCGCACTCACGACAGTACGAGCAGCGTAACAAGATGTACCCGCATCAGATCTTCACGCGACGGCCGGCGGGCGACAGCTGACGCCCCTGTCGGCGCTGAATTTATTGGTTCGCTCTTCAGGAGGTCGGGTGCAATCATCAGCCAGCCACAGGCAGCCTCAGCATGCAGCAAGCAGCATGCTGCATGAACCAGTGCTGGTCACCGCAGTTGGCAAATTCTCTCGTCTGCATCCTCTTCTCTTTTCCGCCTAGCTCTCTGTTCCCTCTTTTCCAAGTAAAAGGTTCTAACTGGCCATTTTGATGCAACCCTTTGTAAGTTGATTGTGCCTTTGGGGGCAACGCTCGTGACAAGCGGTTGTCAAACTGCGGTGGTCTCTGGGGGTTGGCAGCATTTGGATGCAGCCGGCGGCACATTCTGGCGGGCGAGTGCAGGGTGGAGCAGCTTGAGTCGATTTGGGCAATCACCCCAACCAATCTTTACAATTATTTCACTCAATGCCACAGCATCACTGTGGGTGACAGTCGCAGGTTGTGGAGTCCTTAACCTTGCAGCGCTCAAATAGTGACTCAAAAATGGGTGTCCAGCTGACCAACAGATGAAGGCCTGTGCATGAAGAATGTCTGCCCTCTTGGAGCAGCAGCTGAAAATAAATCAGTCGCGCTTGTCCTCAGGGCGCAGCTCGTAGCCACGGCTCTGCGCGACCGCCTGCAGCATAGGCTCGGCCGCCGCGCTGGGGAAGCGGCCTGCGAGGTGGGGCGGCGGTGGCCGGCGGGCGGGACGCAGGGGTGTCAGTCTGCGCTAGACAGCCGGCACGACGCGGGGAAACGCACAACAACAAATAAGCAGTCCTGCACGGACGAGGCCCCAGAGGCGCGCCGCCTTGCGCCCATTTCGCACGCGTGGTGCAGGCCTGTGCGCGAGGGCCCAAGCCTGTGCGTGGCGGGGCGACATTCGGAGAGGCTTGGGGGAATTTGGGGACGGGGACCTCTCACCGATCTCGGGCTTGTAGTCACCAGAGAACTCCAGGTTGGCCTGCGACGCCGCGGGAAAGGGGTGGACGGCGCCACAGTTAGGATGCCCTGCTGGCACTGCTGAGGAGCAGGCAGGTGCGCGGCACCGAAACGGCGACGTGGCGCACGAGGGAGCCGCCTCGTACTCAACCCCAACTTCCACCCGCCAGTGTTCACCAAGCAAGGGGGATCCAAAACTTGAATCGATCCGCGGCCGGCGCTCTTGAGGTGGCAGCATTTAGCGCTGATGCAGCGGCCGGCTGCAGCAATATGGGGCGCGACGTGTCAAAAAACGGGGCTGCGTTTGCGGGCCCACCTGGTACCACCCGTAGATGCCGCGCTCCAGGTGCTTGACCTTGGAGATGTTCGCGTTGGCCACCGCCTTGTAGCACGCCTGGGGGACGAGGAGTGCGGCGGGCGGGGCCGGAGCACTCCCTGTGAGAACCCATGCATGTGCCCAGGCAAACCGCGTGTGCGCGGAAGTGGCGGGCCTCCGCACACAAGGCTTCGTCGGCGGAGAGCCGGGCCCGGCGCGCAGCCAGGCCGCATGCGAGCGCCAAAGGCGCGGGTCCTCGCCTGCAGCGACCGGCTGGGCTTGCCGGTGGGGAAGTTCTGGGAAGGCTTCATAGTGCCGCCGGCCTGTGAGCAAGCAGGAAGGGGTGTGCTGGTTTCGACAAACCGGCCGTGCTCCAGCAGCACGAGACCCACTCTTCTGGATTCGCCGCCAGGGGTTCCGCTGCTGGGACATGTGATGGTGCCATCTTACAGACGGTCGCCTTGCACCCAGCTCCAGGCTGACAGCCTGGTTTTGGAACAGGCTGCTCCGACTGTGCAGACACTGGCCTGTGAAACAACAACAAGGCGCTCTTCAAAGGGCTTCCAGGGCCCCGAGCTGTCGCGACCAACCAGCTTCGGTCCTGTTTCACCCAGCGCCCCGCACATGCCGCTGCACCCGCACGCTGTCGGCCGCGCCCGCTCCCTGCCGCACCCGCGGCTGCACTCGCTAGTTTTCTGCCGTCCCGTTCGCCTCTTAGCGTGCGCGGCGGCCCACCTCGCAGGCAAAGATGAGGCCCTTGCCTCCCTCAGCAGCCTTGGCCAGCTGCTCAACAAACTCAGGGTTGGGCTCAATGGGGTCCTGGGGGTTTTGAGGGGGGGCATGCGGGGGGCCTGTGAGGTGTGTGGGGTGGTGTTCAATTGGGCGGCCCGCAGGAGGAGAACCAAACAAACGCAGTCGTTGTGTTGACCAAAGGTGGGTGGCTGCTGTGCCCAGGCCACGCACCGCAGCTTCAAAGAGGTCAGTGCAAGGCGCAGGGTGGCCACCAGCAGTCGCGGCACAAAACAGTATGATATCACCACATCTGATGCGCGCAGCCGCGCGAGGCTTGCACGCGCCGCGGCCCGTCGCCAAACGGCCCCCTGTGCGCACCACGCCGTTGAACGCGTACATGATCGTCTTCATCACCTGCGAGAGAGGGCGCAGCCACGCAGATTCAAATCGCAGTGCAGTCAGGGCAGGCATGAGGACGCGCGTACACGCCTGCATGCCCCAGCAGCCCGACATGCTGTTGCTGGTGCAGAGGGCCAGCGCCTTTACCTGGCACCGCCCTTCATCCACCTCTGCTGCACAATTCGCTGTTGGACCCTTTCTCCTGCCCCCTGCGGTCGCCCGATGACAGCGCAGCACAGCGGAGCGCAGCGCAGCAGGGCACGCGCCAAAGCCCTGCAGCGGCTTCCTCCCCGCGGACCTTCATCCCGTCGAATCCGCCAGACAGGTCGATCTTGCGGTACATCGGGACGTTGACGGAGCCCCTGGGGCTGCCGGTCGCGAACTGGTCGGGGCGGCGCACGTCGACGAGGACCCAGTCGCCGCTGGACACCAGGCTGGCCGCCGCCTCGGGTGTGACAGTCTCCACCTGCTTCTCCTTGATGAAGTCGTACACCTGATTTGATACATATTTTGGGTTGGTGTGGATTGTGTGTGTTCCACGTGCAGTCAAGACGGTGACGGCGATTGCGACTCCAAGGTAATTGAGACATCTTTTGGTTAAATCTTCGGCGTGCGGGCGAGGGAAGGATCATCCAAGGGCCCTGGTCAGGAGCGGTCCCGTGCCACAGGTGCCGCACACAGGCGGGCGGGCGAGCAGCGGCGGGAGTTGGGCGTGCGTCCCAGAGATCTCTGGCGGCAGTCGGCCCCGTCTCCAAGCGGCCGGGGCTCTGCAGCAACTGCAATGACTGAGAGCCTCACCATGGGCCACCTCGGGATGAACCGGGTCTCGTCGACCGCGGCCGCGAACGCCACATGCCGCGAGGAGCGCGGCGCTGCCACCGGGCCAGGGCGGGCCACACGGGCAGCGCCCCGCTGCACAGTGTGTGCGCGGCTCCTCATCACGTGCTGCTGCGCAAAAGCCATTTTATGGTCGTCGGATGTGCAGGCTCAGGTTGCCTACTTCGATGGCTGACAATGGGGCACGGACCGGCAGAGATCCACGGGCAACTCAGATTTTTGACGCGGCGACCACTGTCATGAGCGGCCGTGGTTCCGAATATTTCAACAGTCACAACCGTAGCTCTGTGTAGTAAGATCGAAGCGCGTGCGTGGAGTCGCAGCTCTGGATCTGAGAGTCAAAACGAATCACGGGGTTGGAAAGCATCAGCAGCGAGAGTGCCTGGAGGCCAGCAGACCTAACAGATTCTCATAAGCCCCTGGGCATACATGCAGGCTTGCCCCAGCCTGTAAGGCACTTGCTGATGTCACGGGGCAGCCCAGGGCAACAGTGCAATCGAGGGCCTCAGCACAATGAAAGTGGCTCGCGCGCTATGGAATTCCTCATAAGTGCATATCTAAGTACCATATGTTTGCGACAGCCACATAGCGTAGCGCCTGTAGCATGAAACTCGCCACACAATGCTTTGCTGTTGGAAACACAGGGTGAGTGCTGTTGGCATCACACAACTAAACCTAACACAGGACGGTTTCAAGTCGTTGCACTGATATTGTACACGGAGGCAGAGCGAAACACAGAGTAAGGGGCACAGCTGACCATGCAGACTTGATGTAGCGATCTGCATTTGCAGAGCTTGTACGCAATCTGCACGTGACAATTGCGGATGTCACACAAGCCCTAAGTGACAAACAGGAGAAACGTGCTGGTCCAGGCACAATGAAGGCTTGGAAAAGTATTGCCAGCATCAAGCACTTGACATGGCTACTGTACGTGGGAGCACAGCTGAACAGCGGCAGCTTCCCGCGCAAACTGTCCTGGTGCCAGATGCTCTACAGCAATGGGACGACCGTAGCCGGTGTGTTGCACATTGTCGCATATATTGATTGTCTGATCATTGAAGGAAGCGTTTGCAATCAGAAAACTCGCCGGTGCTGCTAGATCTATACAAGTCCTCGCCTTCGCGACACATTCGATCAGATTATATGCATCTTTATCTGGAAATTAGTTCAGCTGGTGCTGGTCAATGGCCGAGCCTCTAGCAGCAGAGCTTGCGGTCGAGTCGACGTCGCTTTGGCTCCTTGGCGAATTCGAGGCAGCTTTGCAGACTCTGCAACGTTTGGAGAGTACCTCTGTTAGCGACGCCAAGGTGCGGCGTGCATGGCATCGCCACCCGTGGCGCGCCGCCGCCGCCCGCACCGCGCAGTTCGCCGAGCCGACCTGTGCTGGGCCCTCTCTGCATCCGTGCAGGTTCAACACAACCTGCTGGTGGCCCAATACTACGCAGCAGAGCAGCAGGACCCGGATCCTCTCATAGCGTCACTGATCCAGGTACAAAATGCAGCCGATTTATACTGCACTGCAACTGGCTCATGGCGACGCAGGAAAGGCGGGAGGAGGCGCCCCCGCCGCCCATCACAGGCCCGTTGCCCTCATCATATTGACGCCCAGCAGCTCGCCTCCACTCGTTGCTCCCATCTACCCCAGACCCCTCACTCCCGCGCCCGCCCCCGCCCGCAGGCCGCGCGCGCCGAAGCCGACACCGACACCTCGCCGCCAGGCAGCAGCGGCAAGGATGCCGGCGCCGCCGCCGCAGCCGCCGCCGCCGCGCCCTCAGCCGCCGCCACGCGCGGCGGCGGCGGCTCGGCGGCCGCGGGCGTGAACGCGGCGCACCTGATGCTGATGCAGCGCCGCCACGCGTCCGCCTTGGAGTTGTTGGAGCCCTTGTTTGACAGGGTCGAGTCCCTGAGCGGCGGCGCGGCGCTCCACCTCTGCCTGCTGCTCTTAGAGGTCTACTTGGAAAGCCGGCAGCACACCAAGGCTGCAGGGGTGATATCGTATCTCGAAGCGGCGTTCGGCCTGCCGGCTGATGGCGGCGGCGGCGGTGCGACTCATACCCCGCGCGCCGCAGGCAGCGACGGCGGCGCCGCAGACGGC